ATCCAAGAGGTCGTGGGTTCGATCCTCGCCGGCCGAAGACTCCCCGTGTAGTAAATGGTGACTGATGCACGTTAAATCTGTCGAGTCTCAAAGTCCTCCATGTTCCCATAACAAATCAATACCTCTGGGGGTACCGATCCAGGAGTTTCCTTGTCTTCTGGATTGGTTCAAAATTACAAGTCTACGGCGTTGAACATTTGTAGTCGTAAACCCAAAAATTGGGTCGACTGGTCAACGGCGGTCATAAAATAAAATAAAATAAGTCAGCAAGGTACGCCTTTCATTTGACAAGAGAGCACCGCAAGGGTGAAAGTACGTCTTGGCGGAGAACCCCACAGATGAATGGCAGCATCACTCATTCCTGGGACCTTTTTTTCAATTTGGACATAGATCTGTAGGGGAAGGAAACTCTCTCCAGATTCCTGCACCCTTGGTACAGCTCAACGACCGACCACTGGACTTTACACTCGACCACTGGACCACAGATTTTACGGATCGCATGTACTCGCTGGGTCTTAAGGGAATCAAGAATCAAACTCCTGCTCCTCCGAACCGGAATCCAATTCTCTAATCACTAGACTAACACGGCACGAAAGGTTAGTTATAACTAAAACTCAAAACAACTCAACACAAGGAATAAATGTAACATAATTCAATGTTTTTTTTAATTTGTAGGTTGCTTTCTTTTTCGTAGAGTGTTATTACTTTGCAACAATTTCTTCATAATTTAAAAATTTGCCATTAATGTTTCAGATCATGTCGGCACACTTCAACATTTTTCACTTCTTAGAAATGCTCAAAGATTATTTAAAAAAGAAAATAATCCCGATTCCATCAAAATTTTTCATGGTATAAGAGTTTTAACAACTATTTGGCTGATCGCAAGTCACATAGTCACTGTTATGTACGATCAAGCTTTCGGTATGTAGTGATTTATTAATTTATTTATTTTAAAAATGTATGCATAGTATGTTTTATGGTATAGTTTTTGGACAAAATAATGTATACAAGTCTTAATTATCTCCATGGAAGCATCCTTTTCATCCATGGTTTTGAAAATCTTACGCAGTAAAACTGTTTGCGCATTTCAAAAAATCTTGATCATTTTCATAATCACGGTACCATTAAAAATAGCGCCACTTTAAGACATGAAAAATTTGTATCAAACATAATAAGTGGAAGGAATTAAAAGTTTCTTTACTTTTTTAAATATCAGTAATTTTGAAAATATTAGTTAAGTTTTTATTTTAAGCAATTTCGAATATTTAAAGTAATTGCAAATGTTTTCTTTACCTATTTTATTTTTGATTTAATGGATTTGATTTACAATAATTTTAATAATTACTATAGAGAGAAAAATTTAAGCAAATACATAAAAACTAATAATCATGTCGTGAAGTTATTAAGTGCTGGCAAAAGTAAGTATGTTAAGTTTGCGAGAAATGTTATTTTACGACCAGTGGTTGACGCTAGGTCTTCCGGGCTGGCATTTATAATCAAATCAATATTGCGAAAAAAATCACCTAATAATCATGCAGTGAAGTTACTAAGTGCTGGCACAATTAACCACTTAACTGATTATCCCGAGTTTACTCGGGTGTGTATAGATTGCAAATACATCCCGAGAAAATTCGGGCGAAGCAGAATTTGTCAGTATATTTTGTTTTGACACGTTTTTACTGGGCAGAAAAAAAAATCTGCTGTGATTGCCAAGCTTTGTTTTGGAGTTTTGCTGTCGGATTGCGTGACTGCTCACGTGTTTTGTGCAATTGTATATATGATGGTTGCTGAATTTACATAGAAAAAAGAGTAAAAAATTTGCAAATATATCCCGAGAAAATTGGGGAGAAGCAAAATTTGTCAGTATGTTTTGTTTTGACACGCTTTTACTGGGCAAAAAAAAATCTGCTGTGATTGCCAAGTTTTGTTTTGGAGTTTTGCTGTTGGATTGCGGGACTGCTCACGTGTTTTGTGCAATTGTATATATGATGGTTGCTGAATTTACATAGAAAAAAGAGTCAAAAATAGTGTATCACTTCAATGTCGTTTGGAAAGTACCACTTTGCGTTGTCCCTCGTTTTTAAAACTATCATACAAAAACTAATATTTAACTTTTTTTATTTGCCCGAGATAACTCGGAATAGTAAACTAGTTTTAAATTAAATATTTTTGGACAAATAAAAAATTAAAATTTCAACTTAAAACTTGTGTATTATGTTTTGCTTTAGTTCGTTGTATTCATTAATAAATAAATAAAATATATTGACTTTTGGCATTTTGTTCAAAACAATAGGTAAGGTAAGCGGTTAACATGTTAACCTGATAAACATGTTAAGCGTACTATAAATCTTATTTCACGACCACTTTTTTTGCATGGTACAAGGACATCTTAACTGACATATATCATATAAAGAAGTCAATACAGTGAAAAGAGTCACCTAACGTAGAGCAATAATTACATAGAAAACAATGATATATTGAACAATTGGTCATACATAATTTCGTTACCTTACCAATTGGTCAAAACACTTGGTAAGGTAAGCGGTTAACATGTTAACCTGATAAACATGTTAAGCGTACGGTAAATCTTATTTCACGACCACTTTTTTTGTATGGTACTGAGACATTTTAACTGGCATATATCATACAAACAAGTCAATACAGTGAAAAGAGTAATCTAACGTAGAGCAATAATTACATAGAAAACAATGATACATTGAATGGATTTTGCAAAATTTTCTTGTTCGTCTGCATTACATCAATGGCAAGCTTATCGAACGTGTAACAAAAGCCTGTCGTAAGTCTGAAGTTACTTCTAAAATTTGATTGCCATTTTTGAGCTCAGTTTTGAAAATTGCATTTTTTATTTCACAATTTATAACAGCTCAATAATTGCTACCATAATTTTGTTCCTAGGTGGTTTGCACATATTCTATAGTTTGCGCCATTCCATCTGGGCTCAGCTCATTCCTAGCTCTCAAATAGCAGTCGAAACGTTTTTCTTTATGAGGTACATTTTACATCGCTAGTTCTCTTTCCATTTAAAAACTATAAAATTCGTAAACTTTTTTGTTCTTATAATTTGTAAAATGTAATGAAATTACAGAATCAGTAATCTAATTTCAAAATAATAGATATTTCGTTTTAGTTGACTTATAATAAACAGAAAAATTATGTTTGCTTAATAATTTTGCGAAAAATTTTATGTTAATTTTAAAAAAAGAAACATTACAAATTCACACAGATATGAAACCTTTTTTTCTTTTTTTTCTTTTTTTTTTTTGGTCGGCATTTTTTCCAATTTAAACTTGCTTATTATTAGTTGTGCAAGCCATTAAATTGGTATTTTATATAATAAATAAAAAGTAACAGTTATTGTTATTAAGATAGTTTTATGCGTCGGAAAACTTCTTATTTCCAATATCATTTCCTTTTTAAATGGTCATTGTCATGAGGATGATTGCTTTTGAAATATATCAAAGCGTAACAGCAACAAAAATATATTTATTAATATTTAAAACAATAAACAAAACAATTATGAAAATATTAAGGGCCCTCAGCAGCCAAAATACAGAAATATAAAAATATATTCTCATAGAGGAAAGACCAGCCTACGCGCCGTCTCCTCTTCTCTTAATTCTTTAATTGGGTTAGTGATTTACTCGTCCTCTAGCGGTGAGCCAATCTTTTCTGTACACCAGGCAGAAATATTTTGCAATTAAAGGAATTTTTGATAATCAATAATGTGTAAAGTGTTTTATTTTTCTAAGAAATTGATTAGAGAACAATATATGGATATTTATAAAACGAGGAAGTATATGAGACCATAATCATAAAAGTATCATCACGTCATCCACATACGTTTTTAAATATAAACACTACAAATTAATTGTGCTGATCACCAACATCTTACACGTTTTTAAAGGAAGTAGTAAAGCATTAGCTACTAGTTTAACTGATTTATATAATAATAAAATGAAATGAGCATGCACGTTTGTGTGTCTCTTTAACAACAAATTAAGAACCGTTTATGCTAGAGTTTTGAAACTTGGACAGCTTGTACTAGAAGCAATTTAAAACATTTCGTTCGGAGGGAAGGAGTAATGGCTGGCCACACACTGAGGAGGCAAGCGAAACGAAGGAGACATACTGGAGGCGAATTCTATACTTTTTCTTTGGGATTCGCAGAGGTGATGTGCGCAAGCTGATACTACCATATTGGAATCTACCTCTCGTCTGTCTCGTGCTTCCAGCTTGCATTGGGTTTTTACTGCACATTGTTGCACATTTACTGCATGATTCTATTTATTCAGTTCTTTAAAATGTAATATCAGAGATATCTGCTTGTGTACAGCTCAATTTAATCATTTACCAGCTTCAGTGAGAGTTAATCACACTTTCTTCAATAATTATTTATTTTTGATTCCTTATACCGAGTAAGCTTAGCGAAGATACTGAATCAGTTTTTTATAAAGCTATCCTAAATCACTCGTTTATGTTGGGTACTCGTTATGTTACAGTTACACTTTTTAAATGTGTTTCGATTAACCGAAATAATGAAAAATAAATTCTATTTGAAATGAGAAAAGCTTGGCAACAATAAAAAACAATAAAGCTATTAATTATGGATATCATTATTTCCAGCGCCACGTGATATTGAACATATTTAATATTTGTTTTGAAGAGTTGAAAATTTAAAATGAGTTTTGCTTAATATTATTATGTAAAGTCAGCGACAAAAGCAACTACTACTACTAATAATAATAATATATTTGGAGTATTGTTTCGGTTTCGGATCAGTATTTTTTCATCATTGGGTAGTGCTGTATAGTACCAATTTATTAACTATTGATTTTTTACCCTGTAAAACGAATGAGGTATTAAGCTAGTTTTATATACACATGAAGAGCTTCTAAAAAGTCCGGTGAATGTCGTAACAAAAACAACGTGAACTGAAAATGCGACCGGGTGAGTACGCAAGGGCAGACCCAGACTATGATAGTAAAGGAACGCAAGAAAAGAACAGAATCTATACTATCCGTTGAAACCCTCTTAAGGGAAGAATCTATACTATCCGTTGGAACTCTGTAAAGAACAGAATCAACCCAATCATTTACAAAAATTTTATTTTCTAGTTCGGATAACATCTGGACTCGTGTTTTCGTGGCCAAGCGTTGATGACCGGTCACGAGTTAACTCGTGTTTTCAGGGCCAAGCGTTTTAAAATAGTCTAGTGGTGATTGTTTTAAAAAGCGGGCGTAATTTTCCTTATTTTTCAAGTTTTACTATTTAATTTTCTAATAATTTATTAGACTTTATGAAACCCGATATATTTGTAAAACTTGTGGTGTACCATGACACGTAGGTGATTGTTATACTTTTTATCATACGAAAACGAAATATTAAGAGTTCAATAATAAATATAAAAAAATTAAAGTGTATTTATAGTGTTTCACTTCCACATCCACCTTCAAAAACAATACCCGGGCACATGGGGAAATTTTCAGAAAAGTTGCTGGTCAGCTATGTGTTAACTGGCAGTCGAAATACCATGCAGCATCTTTCTAATTGGCATAGGTTTGGAGAGAATACAGAAGTGGCTATTTCGGGCAAACTGAAACGCCTTTCCTCTTCTCACAAGATGCACTTGCAATGACTTCCCTCACAAGTTAACATAACTGACAACGAGATTTTTGATGGCCAAAATGCGGCATAGTTCAACCAGTTGATTCTTAGATCCCTCTTACCTATTTGGAGCTACATTTCGCTTACAACAGTAATACTTACTCAACCTGTTTACCACTGGTATGAAAGTAAACTCCGGGTAGTGCTATGTCCCTTCAGTGTAGTAGGCTAAAGCAAACGGCATTTTCCGTTACCGCAGTGAACATCATATAACTTTGACTTACCATAATAAAAACGGTTTTCCGACCTGTAGTGGGTGCCCTGCTGGCCAGGCTTCTCCAGAACTTATTCTTGATTGCCTAGACTTCACAAAGCATGATCTTTTTGAGCACCCACTGATGGATATTGACTTCTTGAGAATATCATGGATTTAGTCTAACTCGGTCAGACATAGAATATAGTCACAACAACAACACAATGATTTGAAAATTGCGCATATTCTGTTTCTATTCCCCTTTTTCGATTAATTCCAAAAGAGGCCTCGCCGTACAGCGTCCAGAAGCTTTATCGACAATAAAAAAAAGTATGTCTGATGTTACTTAGAGGATGAATAAAGGTATTTTGAGATGAATTTTCGTTCCATTCGTCTTATGGCTCCATTCACCAAACTTTAATGATTACCTTGCATTGGTACCTTGCATTGCGATTCTGGCATTATGTCATTTAAACTAAAACTTTTATGTCCTCTTTTTTTAGCGCTGTTTTATTGTCATATAATATTATAAAGAACAAGGATCGACCACTTTCTGTGAGTTTGGTTTTTCAAAGACGTTACATAAGGTAAAACCTTTTTTTACATGATTTTTTCTTTAAATTTTGCATATAATAATAAATATGATGCCTGCTCTTCCTTCCGTGTGTATATCTCACACTCTTTGAAATTAGGAGGGCTAATTTTTGTCAATTTCACATTCCAGATATATTTCCTTTAATTTGAAAATACATTTTGTAAATTAGTAAAAATAACTTGCTTCTTTAACTTTCTCAAACATTCATTACATTTTGTCTTGGTTGCGGCAACCCGGCAATATGAGATAATTACTTTTCAGGCATAGACAATTTACACTGCTTGACAAGTTGCTAAGGAAAAATTGATTTGTGCAAAGTAGCGATCTTGTCAGTCGACCAATAAAAGAAAAATTAATTGCAGAGAGAGTGATAAATTAGTACCCGTTATCTGTATAAAAGAAAGTGCACACAATCTCTTCCTTCGTTCGAAAACTCACGCTGTTAGGTGTTTGACCAAAATAACACCGTAGGCTGTTTAACTTATTTCTGTGCAATTCAGTGTGATGTAACAATAATTAAGTGCAAAATAATACCAAGATGTCATTTGTATTCCTACGATCGTGGTTGAGTAGTTAGACGACAGAAAGCTGGTCAAAATGCCATGCCTGAGACCGCAGTAATGGGAGTGTCAAAAATGTTTTCTTGAGATTTAAAAAGACAGCTGAAGGTGGAAATGCTATGTGATGGCTTGCCCGTGGTCTTTGTAGAAACACCACACCTCAAGTGGAGTGATATATACCCCAATAACAAAAGAGAACAGAACTGCCACTCCAAGGCAGATAGCTCCAGACCTTGAAACCACTACCGGTACACATGTTTCAGGTAGAACTATCTCACTGCGACAAAATCAAGTAGGTTTCCATTCATGTAAACCAGTTCGATGCATCACGCTTTAACCACGCCATCATCCAGGAAGATTACGTTGGTGTAAGGAATGTATTGGTTGGAATAACCAGCAAGGGTCCAGAGTGATATTCTCCGGTGAATCCCGATTCACTATGACAAATGATTCTGACTACTAGTTGGGGTCGAGAGAAAAACACGTTATGCACAACAATAGGTTCATGAACGTTAGCGGTGTGCTCAGGCGTTCCGGTGTGGGCAGACATCATGTACAACGGCTGAATACCGCTTCAGATCTTTGAGCGAGTTAGCATTACTTTGCAGCGGTATTGCGAAGTGATTATTCTGGATCTCGCTAGCCTTTATAGGGGTGTGATAGGTCCAGACTTTCAGTTTGTGAACAACAATGCACGATCAGTCAGGCGCTTTGAAATATCGGACACACTTGAAAGCAGAGAAGTTTTCGTATATTTGTTACACAAAATCTTAAAAAGACAAAACTTTCTTTTTCAATAAAAAAAACATGCATCGACATAATTCGGATGTAATTATTTTTCCTTTCAAAGACATGGACTTTTTTTTTTCAATTTACATTACTATGACAAAAGAAGTACTGAGAAAACCAACAATGATAAACTGCTTAATCAGTTTTAAAATTAATTGTAATATGAATAAAACATGAATGTTTTTATAATAATTATTATTACTTTTAATTCTTTTTCAACTGCAAACCCATATATTTTAGGACCACAATACCTCATGCCCTTATGATTGCTTGTATCTGTCTCCTACCCTTCCTAAGCTCTGGTCCACTTTACAAAGAAATTGTTGGTAACGAGGCTGAAAAATGTAAACAACTTGGCTGGATAAATTTTTTTTACGTGCAAAATTTTATATCATCCCAGGAAATGGTAAGAATATTTTTGCCAAGGAATCCAAGTACAAACTTGTCTTGTTTTTTTATATTTTAGTCTTTATCTCTTTTCCACAGACGTTGCGTTTTAGTATGTAGTGATGTTCAAAATACATTTTCGGTAACAGGAGTGAACTAATTCTTAAGTTAAACAGATAATTTATGTGACAATTACTTGTGACAATTACTATTATGTTGCTAACACATAATTTCAAATCAAATTGTAACTATTCATATTAATAACATATTTTGGTAAAAACTATCGTCTTTGTTTCACCGAAAAATTAAATAATTAGGATACCAATTCATAATTTTTTTTAAAAATAAGTACACAACTACACGAGAGGATTGGCTTTATTGTGAGTTAGTTAATGCAATTTTTTTTCTAAGATTAAGAAGTTGTTTCGTGATTAGTATCTACGATTATGTTATTATTTGACACTTCATGATAATTGTTTTATTCTGAGAGAATCTAAATATCTGCATTGCAGCCAGTGGTACCTAATATTCCAGTGGTACCTACATTTATATAATAATGTATTATTTTTTATTCATTTGAATCTATTTTTCATAACACTACTCATAATTAATTTAAAAGCAATTCATTCAATTGAAATTCTTATGCAACCTACTTGGTTCTAGTTCTTTCGTTGTGAGACTTTTAAATTGTTACCAAAAACTCAGCAAGCTTTGGCTTTTATATGTCTACCACTCTATAAAATAGTTGGCAAAAAGCGTAGTAGATGGAAGAAAAAACACATGTATTATGTGTTTCTTTAAGTTAGAACAGTGGTTTCCAACTGGAGGCCCAGGGGCCGCATCAGGCTCGCGAACTAAAATATATTAGTTGTCTTTTTTTGCGGACAATTTTCGTAAAATATCTATATGAGTTTAAAATACTTTTCTCGTTAAAATCCTAATTTCTTCGCGTCTGTGAAATTTATCATACCAACGGTGCAAAAAATATTATTTCTCGGGTATTTCATCCAAGAAAATATTTATTCAAACAAAAAAATAATCGTGCATGTTGCTCTTTTCTATTTCAATTTTTTTGTATTTTGTGAATAACATGTGTTTATCAGAAATTTTCTCGAAGAAATTCTCCGATTTAACTTTTTGAAACCACTTATTTTGGACGAAAATATTTACATACACATTTGTAAATTTTAAATTTAAAATGTAAATATCTATTCTCGGTTGCGGCAAACAAACCTCAATTTTGTCATTGAACATTTCGTGTGCTACTATGTAAGTTATAATATAAACCTTATTAAAGTTTTATATCTTAACAATTAGATATTTGTTGCACATTAATTGTTTAATACATGGGTGCACATTAAAGTTATTGTAGCCCGATTTATTAATATGCAATTAAATATTTTTAAAAATCTACTCATTTTAATTTGTAATTCAATACTTTTGTTTTGTACAACTTGATAAAAATCTGACAGTAATATTTAATGTTCATTCAAAGATAAAAGAGTCCTGTATAAAATTTTGATAAAGTTGCAGCCCGCCATTTGATTTGTGTTTTTAATTGTGGCCCCGGGCCTCATGTAAGTTGGAAACCCCTGAGCTAGAACATTATCATTGAGAAAAAGGGTAAATACTCTACCACTTTCTTGACCTTTAGCTTTACTGTAAAAGAAGGCGTGCGCTTTCACTGACAGAACTTTCTGGTCAAACCTAATAATATTAAGATCATAGAATTTTTCGCGACCTCTACAATCGTGCCAACTACTACACTTTTTGTTAAGTGGTAGGCATTTTAAAGCCAAAGCTTTCAGATTTTTTGGTAATTTTGCCAACTAAAAGGCCTCACCAAGAAACAGCTGGAACAAAGTGGCGTTACATATGAATTTTTGAATCATTCATTTGTAGTTGCGTGGAAAATAACCTAAATGAATAAAGAACCTGTTGCAATACTGTAAAAGGAAGCCTGTGCTTTCGCTGACAGAACTTACTGGCAGACCTAATAGTATCAGCATTCTGTGATAATCAGTTTTGATTCTAAAAAATGAATGAAATTTTGTTTACTACTGCCAAATCAATTAGAATTTGATGCTAGTAATAATGCTAAAAATAAAGGATAGTCATTAATGTCTTTTTTAGGACAAACAGAAAGAGGTTTGTCTTCGGATTGTTTTACAATAAGGTCAAATGTGTAATATCATTTTTATATATATATATATTTCTGTATTTCCAGTGTATGGCTTCTTCGTGGTATTTGGCGGCAGACACTCAACTATTTCTTTTAAGCCTTTTTATTCTTGTACCATACCGAAAGTAAGTAAATACAGTGGTTTGAAAACGTTTTATTGATGATTTAAATTAAATTACATTTCTTTTTAAAGAAAACCGTATGCTATTTTATATTACTATCCATTTGATGACTGTAACAGGGCAGCTAAAAATCCGTCAAAAGTATTCAAGTGGTAGCAAACTACTCATCAAAGCAATTTCAAATTTTCCTAATTTTGCAACCACTTCAATTTAGATTATCTAGCAAGTATCGGACTTCTACATATACACTAAGTTTCTAAACCTTTGTGATGATAAAACGAAATAATGATCCTTTTTTTAAAAATAAGAAATGTATTTTATTGTATAAAGTTTGCTACAAATTTTTATAGTTTCGACCGATCTTTGGAAAACCTGCTATATTTTTTCGAGAAAATATTTGACCCAGATTATCTCATGCGTTTGTCTAATTGCGTAACAGATTAAATCAGTGTGTTATTTAAGAAATGGTTTTGCAAATGGGTATATTCTGCGTAAACTTATTTACACGCTTAACGCGTGGAGAGTTAGTTCTTCGAGACGAGCCAGTTATACACTGAAGAGCCATTACATTATGACCACCCTCCATCTATAACAATGGGATCGCCCAGATTTTCATCGTTTCTTGCCCAGGAACAATGCTTTCATGGGGCATACTAGGACCCATAATCCTCATAGAACAATCCCTGACGTCTGTAAGCTACTTGAACATAGTTCACCCATTCATGGCAACAGTTTTTCCTACAGGGGATGGTGTTTACCAACAGGATAATGCACCATGTCATAAGGGTCGAATCGTCATGGATTGGTTCGAGGAACATTCCAGTGATTTTCAAGTCATGTCTTGGCCCCCAAATTCACCTGACCTTAATCCAATAGAGCATTTGTGGTCCTACTTGCAAAACCAAATTCGTGCTGCCACGCTACCCCCTCGCAATGTGAGGGAATTGCAGGACCAGTTGGTGAGCGCTTGGTACCAGATACCTCAGACTACCTATCAGCACCTTGTGGAATCAATGTCACGGCGGGTGCTAGCAGTTTTGAGGGCTAAAGGTGGTCCTACATGTTATTAGCAGGGTGGTTATAATGTAATGGTTCTTCGGTGTACATCGTTCCCTGGCAAGAACAGTCTCATAACTCTAAAATGAAGCATTTGAGAAAAATCAACGTGAATACTATAATATTTATTCTGAAATAGCACAATTTAGAGATGAGATACTTTTTGAGCTTGATGAGGCACTTTATACATATTTTTTATTGACATAACCTCAAAAAAAGATGTAGCGAATAAATATTTTAAAATTTTTCTTGTTGGAGTATAAAAATGATTTTTCTCATTTCTTCGTTAACCCCAACACATTTTGAAATCAATTGTATATATGTAATATGAAAGCATGAATTCCATAAAACTCAATCTGAAATTCCATTAGAAGGATCATATACAGAATATTACAAACAAAGCACAAGCAGCCTGCATTACACTACAAAATTTACTCGTCAACTCCAATATGCAAAAGCTAAAACGCGTACTATACCTGTCCATGATTAGATCAATCTTAACATATGCATCCCTAGCTTAGGCTAATATATCTCCAACTTTAATCAACAAACTTAAAATTTTCCTGATCAAGATGCCTGAATATAAGCTAAAGCAATTTGAGGCCAATTTATAGATTTTCTTCAATTTTTGAGTTCGAACATTCTCATTGATAAAAGCGTAAATAAGTACTTTGCTACCATTAATGGTGAAATATTTTAATCATCAAGATTAACGTTACGCTCCCACTGATTCTAGAAAAAGAACTGAAAGAAGGTAATCATATTAAGAATAATTTAACGAATTTGTATTTGCCATCAAATATTTGCAAACTACGATAAATGTATCTGTATCTGAAAATTGACTACTTGAATTTTGAAATTATAATGAAGTTAATACTTACGAAATTTCGAATAGCATCAAAAACATTTGTCGGAACTTTTTTTTTTCCAGCTTGTAGCTTTTTGCTAATAATCCTTTATTTTATTTATAGCAACTCTAGAACACTAATTAAACTCATAATGAGCCTACTTGTTTTTGGAATCTTTGGAAAGATATTATGTACCATTGTCTTTAATTTACCACCCACATCTCTGATGTTAAACCCACAATTAGAGTAAGTTTTCGATTTATTGAATTGTTAATTTACTGTTGTTGAAATACTCTATTGTGTCAGGTGGGCGAGACAGTCAGTCTGCTCGTTCCCATAAATGCCGCAATGGACATGTATCCAATGAAGAATAACAAAGTTTCATTTTTAGACGCAAATTTTGCAAGTGTTGCCGACGAAGATTTCTTTTGATGACGGCGGCTTAGATTTACTTATCGCCGAAATTGTAGTTTGGGAATGGTGCTTAAGAACGATTCGTATAGCCTCTACATCTCTATCATAGATTGTTCGGCATTTTCCTGCATGGTCATTAAAGGAGAATAAGTTCAAGAAAAAGAAACTCCTCTGTATCTATGTAACCACTTAGATTCTGGGTACTACTTGTCAAAAGAAAAGACCTCTTTAAGACATCAGTAGAATTGTTTTACCTAAGAAGCAACCCCACTGCCTGCTAATTAAAACAATCAACCTCAAACTGTGCAATATTTTATGATGAATGGGATAGCAGCTAAAAAAACATACTAGAACTAGTTTTTCTTAAGAAACCAGTCTGAAATGCACAAGATAGTTTCAACTTGCATCATATTCAATGGCTTAGAAGGCTTTATTACCTCCTCAATGTCAATTAGCAATTCAAAATTCTGCCTACTGAAACTCAGGGAACTAAATAAAATATGAATAATTTATGAAAAACAGGAACCTGAACTTATGAAATTGAACAAAACCTTTTTCAAATTTTAAATTTCTATCTTTTGTTACGTAGTTACTCCAGTAAGAATTTGCAGTTCTAATTAGTTTACCCTAAAGAATCAGCGGCGCTTTCTCTTCAATTATAGTTTTAATGGGTTTATTGTTTGTCAATAAAAGCATTGCATCTATTGGTGTTGATTTGACGACTCCAGTAACGAGTTTTACTGATTGATTTTGTAAAAGTCCTAGTTTCAAGACTTGATCACTTTCTGTTATTAAGGATTCTCAATAATATGTTACTAAAAGTAGGATGAAAATCCTACAAGTAATATTTGGAGTTGATCTAACACATCCCCATAGAGATCCAGTTAGACACTTCAGAACACCCATTCTCTTCTGAAACCTCCCTAGCAACAATTTTACCCTGGGCCCCAGTTGGGTTCAAAATTGGCTTGATAAGGGTCCTATAAGAGCCTGCACCGAGGGACCAATATTAGGGTGTCTAGATTCTTTAATATTGGTCCTAGAATGGCCTATATAGGGCCTATCGGTCAATATAGGACCTACATTGGCTAAATAATGGATATAAAATATCGGGTGAATCTGGTAATTCTATATAATGCCAATACTGGTTGTAAAGTGGCTGTAAAATATAGGGTGAATTGTAAAATTCTATATAGGGGCAATATCGAAAAAATAAAGGCCCTTTGAACCCTTACTGAGCCAAAATTCATGAATATTGGCACAATGGGGCCAAAGTTATTTTGCTGCCAGGGCAGTTTGATATTGATTCAAGTGTGATTTAGAGTTCAGTTTATTATCAAACGTAATCCTAAATGATTGAATAATGAATCCTAAAGTTGCCTTCGAAGAAGACTTTTTGATGAAACTAACCCACATTTGCGTTGCATGGAGGTCAGGCTAACGTTCCACGGTTACCTTATGTCAAGGAAACTCTACAATAAGCAGCAATGAGACTCAGATACTTTATATCAGCACTGTGGACGGTGCTAGTCGGCTGCAGAATTCATATCGACCAGTCATCGCTGGGATTCGAAGCAGGGTCAACTCATTGGGAGTTGAGCACTCTATCTCTTACGCCACCATGACTCCTTACACATATTTTACAGTAATGTAAGCTACTAAACTGCTGTTCAAACATTGCGTAAGCACATAATGTAAACTACTAAAATGCTTTTCAAATATTATGTAAGCACATAAGAAGAAGAGGGTTCTCAATTTGCTTATTTTTGCTGAGAGCGGGGGGAGCTGGGAATCTGACTAATGCTCTTATATAAGACACTCAATTTCTTTTATTGTCAAAAATTCCTTATAAATTTGAAGAAAAAAAATCATGCCTAAAACAGATAATAAAATTCGTTAAAAAGTACGTTTGACAGAGAGAAAAAAAACAATTAAAAAATCTTCAATGTTGATAAATTTATTTTCAACATTAATTTTTTAAGCTCTTTCAAATTTCACTTAAATTATCATAAATATTCTTGTAAATTGCATCATTATTGCAAAAACGTAAAAACTTACTAAAGCATAGGCGGTTTAAGTTTCTTACAGGAGGAAAGGAATTAAAATTACTCCAAAAAGACGCTTACGTATTATAGGTAGGTTTTTCTCTAGGCAATTTATACACTAGTTTTATTTTGGGTCGCAACCACGATAATCATTTCTTTTACGGCTCTTCTCGAATGAAATTTTCATTCAAATTTTTCTACCTTAATAATAACAAGGTAATGATTTAAGTCAATAACAAAACAGTCATGAATTAGATTCAAGTGTAAAAATAATTTTCTTTCAGGAATTTGAGCTACGTATGGCGGCTGAGCTACTTTTCTCCGATTTTTCATTTGTCAACTTACAGTATCGGAATGATTGTGGGTTACATGTTAGCTTCTAACAGGGAAATAAAGGTGCCAAAGGTAAGAAAATAAATAATGAAATTATATTAACACCACTTTTTCTTGACTAGTTGCATGACTGCGGCAATATATTTATTCAGCAACGCGTAACGGTCAGCTTAACTTCCGAGACAAATAGGTACTAATCGATTTGAAGCTGTATAATCTTCAAACCGCAATTGGAGACAAACCCCAATTATTCACTGTGTGCCTTTACCCCTTGAACATTGCATGTTATTTACCTTAAAAAATACTAGTGAGTTAAGTGTCACATAACAAACAATATATTCGGAGATTTGCAAGCATTATAAATAAAGTTGCAATCGGCTTACAAAACATATTAAGCTCATTCAATTATGCTTTTAATGGTATTAATACAATATAGGTCAATAGAATATTAGCCAGAGGCAGTTTAAAGCAGATTTGACAGGTTAACTTATAGTATCACGCTTACGCCAGCTAAATACGGCAGTCGTACGTCGTAGGTCATCCACGCGATGACCTGCGTGATCATCGCGTAGATGCCAGTTAAATTTGGCGCTCGTACTCGCAGGTCATAGTGAGGATTCGGGCAAAATCCGGCGCTTGAAGCAAAAGAGTTAGGTTTAATTTGGTTGTAAAAATTTGGGTCAGTCAAGTGAGGACGTTGGTAAAAGAATTTTTGATTTAAAAAAGAAAGGAAATTGCAAGGGTACAAACCGTAAAGCAAGTCTGTCTGGCAGGCAAATGAAGATCTTTGTTTAAAAAAAGAAAAGAAACTATGAAGGTACTTGGCGATAATGCTTACAATTGCAAATTATGTGGTTTTCAAAATCTTTGAGCAATATGAAGGACTGTTTGTATCCCAGAGAAGAGAAAAAATTGGTAGCAATATCAGTTCATATATACATTGTTTTCGGGACGAATAAAATAACCTGGACCACAAATACAAATTAAAAGCTATGTTATATGTATGCAAGACTGTCTTTTATCTGGGAAAAAATAAATAGTGATGGATAGTTTATTATTGAAAAATTGTAAAAACATTATTAATAATCTTACAAAAAATGGTTTTACTACCATTTCCGTTCATTATCATTCCCGTTACTGGGGTGCTGACAACCCTAAATATGTTGGGCTCTATGATAAGTATATAACTCGGTAAATCTGCAAAATTTCAAACACTGTTATAAACTTATTAGCAAGTTTAATACCACTTTAAATATAGCAGAGTGCCTTAGCTTTTGGGTTAGTAGCTCTAGTATGTTCTTTAACCATGAAATGGAAACGAAGGTAATCATAAATAGTTAAACTCTTTCAATTTTTTAGCTTTTACCCATAGATTCTTATCAAACACGTAAAGCGGTCGTAAATTTCACACAGCTATCTCGATTTAAATTCTAAACTATTTATTTTCAAAACTCTCATTAGATCTGTCCTGATATCAAAGGCTTGGGCCCTGACTTTCCGTGATGAGGAAGCTGTGAAGATTTTTGAGGGAAAGATTTTGCTCTGTATGTTCATCGAAGTTCAAAAGAACGGATAGCGAAGAATATCTGACGACGAAGAATTTCTATATGTAGACAACTTAACACATTAAAAAAAACAATTTCTGATTCATAAAGTTTTTTGCTTTATATTTTATTTTATTTTAAAATCGTCGTTGAACAGCCGACCCAAGTGTGAGTTTATAGCTACCAATGTTCAACTCTGTAGCCTTGTAATTTTGAACACAATCCAGAAGACAAGAAAATCAAGCATTGGGAGAAGTTTGCCTTCGTGGAGAATTTTTTGATGGAACTAACCCGTATTTTCGTTACACGGAGAGAAAAACGACGAAAACTTTCCACGGCTAGTCTGACGGCCAGGGGTATTTTACCACTGAGGATATTTTACGTCAGCACTGGGGTCGGTGCGAGCCGGGTGCGAAATTCGCATCTAACAACCATCACTGTGATTCGAACCTGGTTCACTTCATTGAAAAGTGAAAGCTCTATCCTCTAATCTACCACGGCTCTTTTTGCTTTATATGTCAAAATGGGAGACTGTGTTACGGGAGAAAATTTTTGGAGAAGACGAAACCCACTCAGGGTTGTCGAGCTAATGAAGAAATGCAGCCTATTATCATGTAATGTATAGGTTTTTAAGTGATTTTGATGACCACGATCATCAAATAATTTAGAAGCCTTAATAAAACACATAAAACTGCTTATTATGATGCTTTAAAATGCGAGCTAAATTTATTCTTGCTCACTTAAATGCTGCTTCACTACTGCTCGAAATTTTCGGTATGGCAGCTCCAGATGAACGCCAAACATTTATCTATTTGCGCCAAACTTTTAGCTGGTAACGCCAAACATTTAGCTATTAACGCCAAATTCTCAGCTATTAACGCCAAACAGTTTTATATTGCAAAGACACCACGTGCACCTAAGGCTGTAAAAACAGATATCATAAATTAGGCAACTCTGGTCACTTTCGACCCTTTTCCCATTCATTATGAAATTACAAACAATGTGTAAAAAACAATTCGCTAATTTTGAAAAATGTTACAGTAGAAAAGAGGCAGGACAGTTATCGCCATACAATATTACAAATAAAGTAATTAATAATGTAAATTTTTTGAGTCTATAAAGTTCGCATTGTCATGAAACCAAGTTATTAGAATAATGTCTCGATGTTCATAACATATCATGTAGCTGAATAGTGGATGAAGATGAGGAGAAAAAGTGATAATTATGTGATGTATACAGGTGATAAATAGATGTTACTTGCATATTTTGATACTTAAGAAACGAGACGTCACTGCAGGTGAAAGCTTCTATTAGTCTTATTAAGTTGGCGGCCTTACACTTGGATGATTTAACAAAAAAGTTAGAATTTAGTATGGCTATGAATTGATCGATAGTATTAATTTTAAAATCTTTATAAATTTCTTTGTTACAGATAAACCATTGCGCCTTGGGGAGTTTACGTAGGGTTTTGTTTTGGCATATATTAGCTGGTTAATTGGAGTTAGAGATATATTAGCCCAGGCAGGGGATGCATATGTTAATATGGGTCTGATCATGGACGTAGTGAACGTTTTCGTTTTAATTGCATATCAGAGTTGTAGAATAAGCTTTACATTTTATTGCAGGCTGTTTGTGCTTTGTTTGTAATATTATGTATATAATCTTTTTAGTTGAATTTCCGGTTGCGAGTTAATCCAAGGTATTTGGCTTTGTTGACTGTTGGGATTTTTTTCGTTGAAGAGTACTAATTGCTTCTGTGGTAGAATATCGAGGGTTCTTTTCTTATGAATTATACGTAGCTGTGATTTCTGACCGTTGACCTGAAATTTCCTAGCTAGACACCATTCTTTTGTGTCACAGATTTTATCCTGCATTTTTTGCAAGGTTAAGTTGAGATCTTTGGATTTTACAATTAATCCGTTATAATCTGCATGAATTGCTGTGATACTATTGTAATCAGTTCTGTCAACAGGGAAATCATTTGTGTATAAAATAACAAGAATAGGACGCTAGATAAAATATCAAGAATAGGGCACCTTGAGGAACTTCTGCTAGTATGCATCTTTCGGTAGATAATGCGCTTTTAAGATTAATTTGGAAAGTTCTGTTTGAGAGGCATACTTGGATTATTTTGATAATTACAATTAAATGCAAAGAATACTTTTCTTTTTAATTTATACAATTTGCACCGTAACTCGTAGTTGTAGTTGCAATTAAATAAATAAAATGAATTAAGTTTCCCCCACTTCCTATATTTTTACGAACACATGGTATCCTTGATATTATCTTGATTCTAGTATGTTTTGGGATTTGGTCACCTGTATAGCTCAGCTCCCCCTATCCCATTCATTTTGATACTGTTAAAGCTTTGAATTGAAGACATGGGAGTTTGCAGTAGGCGTGGTTGCTCCTTGATATTGTTGAAAAAGTATTGCAAATGCTATTAAGCTACTATAAAAAAGAGTGGAAAAGTGCTACAATGGAAAGATTGGTAGTACAGTATTTTTTGACTGAGACGGATTTTAAAAAACTCACTATTCCTAATTACAAATCGAAATTAGTAGCTTTATATTGGGGCAAACAGACATGCTCATGTTGTAAGATAAAAAACCAAAGATGAAATAATAGTGCTACCAGTTTTAATCATTTTGAAAGTAAAAACTGTCTTCCAAGAATACACTGCTGTTAATGAGATAAACAAAAAAAAATATCTAACTACATTATTTCGAAACATTACAATGAATGTTTTAAAATATGCATTTAAAACAATAAATACTAAATCGAAAATTTAAATGACTGGTTAAGTTTTCGATTAAGTATTGTTTTAAATTATTTATTAAAAAAATTAAATGATTTTATTTTCAGATGACTTCGACTATCTTATGGATAGCTTCAATTTTAATTCAACTTACTATTGTGTTTGGAGTGTATGTTTGGAATTCAAACGAAGAACCTCCCGGTTTAGTTCCTTCTTTGTTATTTGGGGCATCTCATCGTATTTTGTGGTCATTAACATTAGCATGGATTACATTTTCATGTCAAGCAAATGATAAAAGTAATTATTTAACTCTGATTACGATGTTTTAAGCAATTTTAACATTGATTTTACTATTTAAAATAATCTGTTTTTTTTATGCATAAAAAAATTGCGCAAAATTACAGAAAGCGTTATTTTTTACTTGCTATTAAAAATGTTGTTACATGCGTAAAAAAAGCAGGTTATTAAATTATCTGAATTATTGTGTTTTTATTACGTTCTACTCATGCTTGGTGATCAAAGCAATATGGCACCTTTTTTTGCTCTGATTCTCAATTGGTACCTAGTACCAAATTTCAGCTTCATTTTATCATTATTATCACTTGCTTCTGTCTATAGTTCCTTTCCCATTGTCTTTGCATAGTTAATTTATAAAAACCTGCTTTAAAAACATACTAATCACTAAACGTACTTAATGAATTATTTCTACATTACTACAAGTTAGGGAGTATGCACTTTAACCACAACTTACCTGTTTTATTATGGAGGATCTATTCCTAAAAATATCAGTGGTTGCCTCAAAGTTAATGGAGTAGTTGCACATAGACCTGGTTTGGAGCTAATCTAAAACATGGGATTAAATACCAACACCACCACTTATTTTTTTGTAAATCGTTTGTTGCCCTTCCGGTTGACTTTGCATTATTAAATTAATGATAATAAGATACCTCATTTTAGCCCCATTATGAACTTGATTATCTTAGGTCAATCATAAATTAGATTATTTCAGCTCTATAATAAATTTTATTTATTTTAGTTTATAATTTCCTTTTTTTTAAGTAATTCGTCAAATTTGAAAGTGGCACAGCATTATAAGTTTTTATCAAATTACGTTATTAATCACTATCCAGGAGAATTATCCCCCTCGTGGTTATTAATAACTATAAAAAAATTATTTGTAACTATCATGTTTTACTATAACCAAAATTAGAACTACTGAAAATAGCATTAAACTTTATACAAATTTGTGGTACTTCATGCCAAAATCGCAAGTATTTTTCTACCTAAATTGGCAATGCCACATCATCTTTGCTTTTTGAGTGGCTTCATCGGTTAACACAGCGTTATTTCCTATAAATTGCAAACTTCATCGAATCATTCTAAAATATGCACCACTAAACACAAATACTAGCCGCATTTCGTGACTGAGATGGTGTAATGTCCTTCTCTTAGTAAGGCGTCAAAAGTTGCATGACTTCACGTATCTGTTTTGAGTGGGAGCAAGGAAAAAATCGGAAGAGGAAACTTAAATATTTACTCAAATGCAACATTGTTTGATGTAATTTTTTATGCTGAATCGAATGAAATCATTTTCAAGACTAATAATACTAAGAGTTTAGAAAATATAATGCTTTTGCGTACAAAAAATGCAAAATTTGAATTGTACTCATTCCATTCTAGCCAACTTGTTCCGATTTATCAGAGCATTCTGTCTGCGATACGGAGCTGTTGGAGCCCGCTTCAAATTTTGAGGAGTTTATCGTTTAACGTTTAACTGTTGATTTCTTTATTGATTTAGTTCAATAATTTTCCAGTGAGCTCTTTATTCTTGTATTTATAATAATTATTTTATCAATATTTTAAATATTACTATCATAAAATTAAGCTACTATAAAAAAAAAAGTGAAAATCTTAAAGAATACTTTTCACGAATTTTTCAAACTTAAGGAACATTCTACTATATAAATGAGCCAATCATATCTATGAATTTCTAAATGTATATTTTAAAAAAAATTTTATTTTGATGAAAAAATGAGGGGAAAAAATACTCTCGGCGCATCGTAGGAAAATATTTTGTATTTAAATAAAAATTTTGTTATCAAGACATTTGAATGCACAACATTGTTTATGCAAAGTTAAACTTATTATGTTAAACGTAAATTGTTATTTGTACCCGGCTTTAAAAGTTCTGGAAAGCCCGTTCTCAGACTTTTGGGTTGGCAGCTGTGCCATTCACGCATCTTAATTTCCTATCTAAAAAAATTAAGCATTATAGTCGTTGTATGTTCTTTTTCTCGCTGAATCAAATGAATAAACATGAAACCAAATGCAAATCAATAGAAGTAATATTTTCGAAGTTGCATGGTCTTCTATACATCTATCTATACATAATAATAAAAGCGGCTGTGTGTGTGTGTCTGTAATCACAATATATCGCCCCAGAAGCCTCGCCCAGGCACGAAACTCGGCACATAATTGTGTTTTGACATAATGAAGAAGTATTTTTTTTCTTTTTCAAAAATTTGGATTAGTTATTTAGTTATCAGTCATTTTGTAAGTCTATGCTTTTCGTCTGCTTTTTCGTCTTCAAAGAGCCATATTCAAAAAACTATTAAAAAATGCATATACTTTTCTCCACTCTTATAAATGTATGCTAATGCGAACCTTACAATTGAAATATTAATTTTCGACAACTTAAACCAATAATATACGAAGGAATTAATAATTTAATTGTAAAGTTCGCATTAGTTTACATTTATTAAAGTGGAGAAAAGTTTAACTTTTGTATTAAAAATGTGGCAACATATTCGATACGTAAATAGAACGCTTCGCTTTGATATATTTGTCGCTGTTCATAATTGTTATAATAAGTTTTTCTTCTTCTTTCCACGCTCTTTTTTTTTTTTCTTAAGCGAAGACGATAAGGGAAAATTATACTTGAGGATGCCCCTTGGCGAAATTGGTGACTTATGTTTGGCGCTATTCCTGTTTGCGCGGAACACCGTGGTAACAGAAATAACGGCCGAAACATAATGATATTTCAAAAAACATTGGAAAATTTCAACAAAACATCGGATAAAGCTTGCAATGAACCCAATATAAGCAAAATTAATCTATACATAATAATAAAAGCGGCTGTGTGTGTGTGTGTGTGTGTGTCTGTAATCACAATATATCGCCCCAGAAGCCTCGCCCAGGCACGAAACTCGGCACATAATTGTGTTTTGACATAATGAAGAAGTATTTTTTTTCTTTTTCAAAAATTTGGATTAGTTATTTAGTTATCAGTCATTTTGTAAGTCTATGCTTTTCGTCTGCTTTTTCGTCTTCAAAGAGCCATATTCAAAAAACTATTAAAAAATGCATATACTTTTCCCCACTCTTATAAATGTATGCTAATGCGAACCTTACAATTGAAATATTAATTTTCGACAACTTAAACCAATAATATACGAAGGAATTAATAATTTAATTGTAAGGTTCGCATTAGTTTACATTTATCAAAATGGAGAAAAGTTTAACTTTTGTATTAAAAATGTGGCAACATATTCAATACATAAATAGAACGCTTTGCTTTGATATATTTGTCGCTGTTCATAATTGTTATAATACATTTTTCTTCTTTTTTCCACGCTCTATTTTTTTTCTCAGGCGAAGACTATAATTTTTGTAGCGATATAGAAATTGATACCATAAAAAATTATATAGAAATAGAAATTGATACCATAAAAAATTAATTCATTTTCGTGTTTTCATGTATTTAGCATTTTAGTTTTTTTTTCTTAAGCGTTGTAGCTATATAATATATAAAAACATATGATGCTACTATTCTTCAGATTTCCTGTTATGTTTTAAAAAACTTTATTTGTGAAAACCTTTAGCGTGACGGACAGCTGGCCGCCTTTGGCGGCTAGTATGTGAATAAAAGGATGAGTTTTATGATGCGCTTTAACCTTACCTTTTTGTTGCCTTTTTTATAGTTGTCTTTTGTTGCCTTTTTTAGTCTAATATGAAAACGTGATCATTGAAAAATTTTATTTTAATACTTTTTTCTCTTATTGATTATTTAACTCACTTTCAGATGTATGTTCAAGAATTTTAGGTTCAGAAGCATTCGTCCCCTTAAGTCGTATTACCTACATGGCGTATCTCACGAATTTTACGATAAAGCATTTTTACATCGGAACAACAAGAAGTATGATAATATATGATTTCAGAACAATGGTAAGCAATATTAAACAATTTAATTATGTTCTCTACAGTAATCTGTTGCCAAAAATTTACATTAAGATTTGGAAATTTTCGCTATTTAACCATAAGCTTCAATATTTAAGAAAAACTTTTTTCCACTGATAATGGACTAGAACAGACACTTTCAAAAAGATATCACGTTTTTCTAAAAAATTTATTGCAGTTTTTTATATTGAAGAGTTAAAAAGTGACTTGAGTGAAAAGTTAGATAATAGACTAAGAGACTATTATATATATAAATACAAGTACTTGTATATATATATGTATGTANCTTACTATGTGTTGTATATTGTGGGTAAGTTTCATAAAATTCCATGTGTAATTTCTTGAGTTATCGCGATTTTTGTGAATTTTCCTTAATTTATGATAACCAGTGTATATGTATGTATTATATTAGACTAAGTATACTATATTAGACTATAATATATATATTAGACTAAGAGACTATTTTTCACTGTTAATCAACGTTTCATTTCAAAATGTGTCAGTTCCTTATAATACTAGATCTAGTCACAGAAGCCTAAATAATTAATAAATTAGAATGGAACAGAATCTTTTAATTCTCTAAGACTAATGAAAAAACTGAAATAGTTTTCCTATTACGATATATATTTTTGAAAAAAGGAAGCTGCATCTTATAAATATGACGCTGGATTTTAATTTGCCTATCCGACCTTTATTACATCAATTTCAAATTTTACAAGTAGTGAAGGATTAATTCGAATTTAATAAAATATTACACATCCTTTGGATACTCAGTACTTGTTTCTAACATGAACTGGAAAATTTTCAAGATTGATTGAAAATCTTTTCGATGTGAGCTGATGAAGAAATTATATCTTTTTTTCCCGGATTTGTATTGAATTTTCTTAAATTCCTTTTTTTTAAATAATATTTTTCTCTTTTTTTATTTATTATTTTGTAATTTTTTCCTTGTTTTCTCTACATTTTGAACTTATTTTATGAGCTCTATATACTTGCTGCTTATGTGCAGAAAATAAAACTTATTGATTTTGTTAATTTTCTTTTTGACCTTTTCGTATTTATTTATGGACCGGAAAGTATTGTCGTTTCAGTTCATTTGATATTTGTAATCAAGATTTTATTTTTAATCAATAATGTATTCACCCTCATTAACAACAACCTTACAATGCTGGATCGAAAATGAATCGAAATGGATGGAGAAAAAAATATTGGTTTCTACGATTAATTAATAGTTAGCGCCGAAACGACACTACTTTCCAGTCCACCTAATATATTTAAGGGAAATTGCGATATCACTTTCGCTCGTTTTGTATGCTTGTATTTTCACGGATAAAATTTTCCAGTTGTCCTAATAATTTGCTTGTCATAGATTAACAGCTAAAGAAGTAGTAAACAGGATTTTATCATTTCTGACTAAAATGTAGCATTTAAAGACACTACTTCAATTTCAAATTGTTTGCGGGCGAGTAATTTTAGTACTAAATACATATCTTAAGAATTATTTTTACTTGTGCTATTAACCCGTTGCACTCGGATAGCACATCTGAGACGATGTCTATACACCGTTACTACTCTAAAATTAAAAATATTAAAATATTAATAATTAGTAATCACAATATTTTAATAAATCTTTCATTCAAGAAAACTTTCCTGTCCAGTGACGCCTTTGCTTTTTCACCAAGCCTTCTCCTTCCCAAGATTTCCAGCTATTTAACATGCTACGGAATTCTTCCCGAATTTCGGAACATCTTAGATGAAGAGACAGATATCCCGTTGGGCTAGGTACCTCGTTCACATTTTCAAATAAAATATATTTCACGAAATTTAAATGATTTAGTGCTTACATTTGTTCAAGCATCATTTTGAAGTAAAGGGTCAACGGATGAGTTATTCCTTTGAAAAACAGTGAAAACGAATAAGTTTTACGATCTCAGAAATTTTCAAAACTTATTTTTACCACCCCGTAAGCAATGAGTAAAAATTGTGTAGCTTTGGTAAAGTTAAGAATGTTGAAAACGTTTCTCTCTTTCATGCTGTGCTGTCGTAACTGCATAAATTTAAAATCTATAAAGATTGGTTTATATTTAGCAGCTAATATATTCAATATCTTAAAAATAGAAATAAATGTTATCAAAAAAAAAAAATGTGAAAGTTTAGAGGACACCTGTTTTTTTTTTTCTTTACGTTTTATTTTCTGTTTTTTTATGTGATTTATATTACTTAATGTGCTCTATTCTATTTTGTTTTAAAAACTTTTTTGAGTGCTCCTCACACTATTTCACTGATATATTTTGTTTGGTTTCTCTATATTGATACAATATTAGAAAGCACTCCTTTTTGCGGATTTAACCGTGTAAGCCGATAAAGAGATTATCTTTTTTTTTGTTTCCCGGATTTTTACTGAATTTTTTAAAAAAATAATTTTTTTCTTCTCTTTTTTCATTATTTTGTAATTTTCTATCATGTTTTTGCAAAAATCGTCAATAATTCCTTAAAAAGTGTTAAGCAAATTGTTGCATCATTAAAATTTAGAAATATAAAACAAGATCTTTGAATACACCAGGCTATACTAATATTTTACAAAGTCACATAGTTGCTAATTTTTACTCTTTTGTGCATAACTGTATTAATACCTCAAATAGTAATATCTATATCTATCTATTTATCAAGTTTGTTAGCACTTGAAAAACATCTCAACAAATCGATGTAGGACCTCGTAATTATAAATTTCTTAATATATTTGTTTTAACTATATGTTAACCATTGCACAGTGGGCCAGCATCCAAGGTTTCGTGGCCAAAATTAGTATTTCGATAAAATTTGGGGTCTTTTATTTAGGGTTTTCATGTGCAGGTAAATTGAATTCATAGTTGAAATATTGAAATACACTAAAAATATCAACAAAAAAACAAGATGACGGCTGAAATATGGCGAGCAAAAATCTATATTATATAAAACGCTAATACGTACGTATGTATCAATAAAACCGATGATTTTTCTTTTCTCGCTTAGGCAACAGTTTTTATTTTTAATTGATAGGATTCGACGCGCAAGAGCACGTACTGAGCATCATATGGCTAATCTATATTATATAAAACGCTAATACGTTTTAATTGATAGGTTAACGTAAAC